CCGCGCCTACCTTTCTGACTCGACTTAACTATGCCAAACATTACAAATATATCCAAAAGCGTGACGCAATTAACTCGCGCCCTGATTGGTCAATACCTGCTGACCTGCGACACTGACTGGATCTGTCGCACGATCAGACCCTCGCGATTGGACGTAAGGTAAACATTTCTGCCGAGCACGAAACGCATCGATTAGATGCAAACGGCCAGGCTAGCTGCGCAGATACTGCAAATCGGGCACACTAACCACTTTATTTTCTAAGAGCTCTGCACACTTCTCAAATAGAGATATTTATCATTATTAATGTAGACTTCACAGACCGGTATTCTGTAAGAGCTCTGGGATGTTATTTTCCACACACTTTTCAAAGTAAAGACGATATTAATAGTATTAATTTAATTAACGGAAGCTTCACAGACGCATTTGTAAGATCTCGGCGATGCTATTTTCCACACATTTTCTTAAGTAGAGACGATAGTATTTTTAATATTAAAGTAGACTTCACGACCAGCGCTTTTTGTAGCGACTTTGCGAATATATATATTTTGTACTTTACCTGGAACTCACCACTGCCACCGTGCAATGAAGGCGCGCAGCTGCACGGGCATTTCGCTATCTGCTCCCGTGCACCACACCCGACAGATGCATGCGCGCACGATAGATAATTGTCTTAGGCAATTTAAATTGCATGTAAAGTATGTTTTTGTTTGGAAATCTGATAATAATATATTATAGCAAAGCCAAAACGTTAGTATCAACTTTTTAATATGTTTCTAAATAATAAATACCAACCTTATATTTCCAAGCTATTGGCTAATATTTGGACGCAAGTAATTGGTTAAAACAAAATATTTTGCTAACATCCGCACGTTTGCAAAATGGTGGGCCCTACGTGCAAGCAATGCGAGGCGAAGATTGACCCGCTTCTGCTGAACCCGCAGCGGTCTACGACGGATCCCCGAGCGCGCTGCGTCTGCTGCGGGAAGCTGCAGTACGGCTAAGCATTCCGTACAATCAGCGGGCGGGACATCGTGCGGCGCTGTATTGCCTGCGAGAACGGCCCAAAATGCGGTTGAGTTTTGGGAGGAAAAGCCCCCACCACCTGATTCGGCCGATGTGCGCCGCCAGGAAAGCCTGGCGAACGTCAAGAAGGCGATGGGTCCTGACAGGTACCCCAAGAAGAAAAAGAGGCGCAGCCGCCCTCGCAAGCTGACCGCCCGAAACGCCAATTACATCGAGCAAAAGAAGCAGCAGAAGAGCAAGTAATTTGGATAATATATCCTTATTGCCCCCGTTACCCCGCTTATCTTTGTATTTTGTATACTGGCGGGCGGCGCGAGGCTTGGGGCCGCACATATGGTAAACTAACTGTGGTGCTGCCAATTGTGTTGACGCATCTACGGAGTGTAGCGCGTTTCGTATAATAATTAGCGCATGGTGTCTACTGTGTACCCTTGCGAGCTGGCCGTTCCTATCTGCATACGCGTTACCGTAGATGGAAAGTACACTTGCTCACTTGGCACACGCAAACCCATGCTATATGTACCACCAACCCTCACTGTTTATATTTCACTAATGTGCGCTCACGAATGTAAGCTTCAGTATTGAGTGAGCACTATGCGCGATGAATAAGCTGCTGTCTACATGGACACAACCACGTATGCGGTAGTGATGACCATACAAGCGGCCATCGCAAGGAGATGTGTCTGTACGCAGTACTTTACTTTAGCGCCCTGTCCATAATGGCCGAGATAAGAGCTCGGTTGAGTCACGGATGGCTATAATGTGTACCCGCCGCGCGCGTATATATTGCTTTGAATACTGCTAACAGACGCCTGATCAGCTTGCCTGTATCACCGCGGGTATGACCTGTGCCCGAATAGTGACGTGCTGGATCATATAGACGGATACATCATAATCGTAGGTACAGTAGGCTAGCACGACGATACAAAAGTACCGAGATCGCAGCAGTAACCCAGTGCATGGGTGTTGGCTATCACGACAACACCCATTGGCGGCATTGCGGGATATGCACGGACACATCAAATAGCACGCCGAGCTGATAAGTAGGCAGCGAAAGTACTCCATCTAATGTACATGAACTATTATTCAATTCAAGTCTAACCATCACTACGATCTGATACTCTGCCTACAGCCATATATCTTCGTATGCTGCAGCCGGTCAAAAGAATGTGCACGCAGTGGTGCCTCTTCATCCGATGTGGACGAGGCCTTTTGTCGTACATATCGGACCCAGTATAATGTCAGTCGGAAAGGATTTACGCCACTCTGTCAGTCAGAAGCTATACACATAAGTCAGAAAGTACGTCAGCTATGCAAGTAAGATAAATGCATGCGGAAGATAGTGGAAATACCCTTCAGTTACATCACAAACAGCTCAGCAGAATAATTTCAAAGCATAATATTGATGTTTGTGGCGACCATCGGCATATACTACCTATCCTAAAAGATACTTCGCGCGCGGAGCTGATTAACATTGCTCTATTCGACCGTCGCAATCGGTGATATGTGTCGACTGCCTCACGGCGATGA